AAATGGTCCAACCTCTCTGGAAAGCAATATGGTGCTTTCTCAGAAGGTTGGAAATAGAAATACATTATGATCCAGCAATTCCTCTTCTTGATATTTATGCACAAGAACTATGAGCCATAGCACAAGTAGATATATGCACACCAATGTTCATAGCAGCACTATTTACAATAGCAAAACGATGGAGACAGCCAAGTGCCCATCTAGTGAAAAATGGATAAACAAACTGTGGTACATACACACAATGGAATATTATTCTATCTTGAAGAATAACAGTGAGGCTGCAAGCCACCGCATAACATGGATGAAGCTTGAGGACATTATGTTGAGTGAAACTGGTCACAAAAGGAGAAATACTGCATAGGACCACTACTGTAAAAGACGAAGAAAAAGAATCCATACTAAAGGTGGGGGGTGGAGGGGTGGGATTCTTTGCTTGCTACTGTGATGTTGGGGGTGGGATGAGGGGAGGGAAGGGAGCACAGGGTAGGGAATAGACACAGGATAGTTTGGGTGCTAGGGAAGGGGGCAATATACAAGAAGGGGGAATGGAATGGAAGAACAAAGTGGATTGGAGAACAATTAGGCAGGTTTTCATGGGCTAAGTGGGACAGAGGTAAATAATGATATATGCACAACCTTGGAACAACAGGACTCTGGGATACAGGGATTGAGACATAGTTGGAATGGGGAAAGGGGAGGGGGCATGTTAAGATGCTTAGCTGTCTTATGAATCTTGGTTTTCCTGGCCTACCATTGTAAAATAGACACTTGATGGGGAGAGAAAGAATAGCCAGAAATATCACCACAGAAAGCTTGTAAGTTCATCTTCAGCCTATAACTGATTGGAATACCTAAAATGGGGCTACAATGTGCCCAGTAAAGGAGGCTTCCTGCAGAGCCTCTGCATTACATAAGTCCAGAGGTGGACTCCTGAACAGCATCCAGAATCTTCAGAGGAGGGAAATTTCCACTTAAAAGGACAAACAGACCAGCCTGAAGTGGCTAGAAGAACAGAAGATACTTCTTGAAAGAAAGACCTACAGGAAAA